ATCTACTTTCAAATATTGTTGTTAAAAAATTCTTAACTTTATTTATTTTTGAGATATCGGTGGTGGACCTTTCTATCCGCGAAACTTTGGGCTCCGCTCTACTTTCTTATCTTATAAAATAGAATGCAATTAGATCAATTTTCACATAATGACCATTTTACAATATTTTATTTGCTCTTATTGCTCTCAACTATCCCAAACAAAAATTATGAATTGCTATCAATATATAAATTGATTCTATAATTTTAAAATGTTTGCACATTATAAAAAGCTAGCCGAATACGACCCTTTCTGCCCTCCAGACGGATCCAACCCGTACCTATTGTAAACTGGCGCCAAAGTCATAAAATGATTTCGAATGAATACAGAGTTTGCACAAACATTCGACTGAAATATAATCGGACAAGCGACTTTACCTCTGCCCCAGGGCGTAATAAATAATATTTGAATAATTTTAAATGACATTTTCGTTTGTGATCATTTTCTAACGCGTAATCTATGAGATTATAATAAAGGTACTTGTCAACATGTTAATTTTGCACTTACTGAATACCGTTAGAGGACAGGATTTTATCCTATTATTGGTTTTGTTATGCCGAAAATTTTGAAAATTTGAGTTTATGGTAGTAATATTATAAACAGGACCGTCGACAGACGATAAGAGGTCTGGGAAAAGGCTTAAAAAAACCTCAGCAAGTTTTCTCTTAATTTATTAACCTCTTGATCTGATTAGTAACTATATGAATTATAGATAGCAATCAACAATGCGAACTATAATTTTGAAGTATAATTCTGACAATTAGCGCTAACACTTTTTATTAAAATTTAAAAAAAAAGTTTAAATATTGAAATTCATATGTTTATTAACTCTGTATGAACAACAGATTAAAAGCCTTAAATAATTAAACAATATAAAAATCATATCACTTCAGATTTTTTTGTGTACTATTATCTAATGGAGTAGATTCCTCACTGGAATATAGTCAATTTATTAGTGACATGCTTACTATTATTAATTAATAATTATTAAATAATAATTACAGTATAATATGGATAAATAGTGCATCTTCTCTACCAATAATTAACTTTTTCAAACACTTTAAATTTCTTTAAAATTTTGTGAACACTTTGAAAAAATTAGATTTTTAGGAATTTTGATTTTTTTAAAAATAATTTGACTTTCTTAATAATTAGATTTTTTTATAATTAAGTAATTATAAACTTTTCTCAAAGCAATCGCGCTGCGTAGTTGTTTTAGAAACGAGATATCGAAACGCGTAAGCGCCGCGTCGGAGTTTGACGCGTAAACATTGTTATAAAACCCATAGAAATGTAAATAATATTTGTACTTATTATTAAAAGATCATTTTTTGAAAATGATCATTTTTTGTCCGCCAAATGGTATTTTTTTTACTTTTTTCTTCATTCCGACAATACAAATAAATTTTCTAGTTCCTCATTTTGACAATACAAATAAAATGTGCTTTTAATCATTTAAATTGAACGCTCCGTTCTCTCAAAAACTAAATCGCCATTTATTGCACTTTTTGTATCTTCAGCTAGACCTGCCTTTGCCAAAAACTAATCAGCACGCCACCCATCAAAATTGATACATTTTTTGAAACTCGAAAACATAAATATAGCAAGTCAGATTTTCTGGAGAAAACATAAACTTTTTTCGGGAAGTTAAAAAACAGATTAAAATTTTCAATGAAAAAAATATGTATTTTTGAAGTAAAAAATATATATAGTATAGTTTACGCATTTGGATAATATATAGTCATACAATGATGACATGATTTAAATGATGGATTATAATATTAACAAAGAATTAATGATTCATTCGTTTCGCATTAGAACTCTTAGATTTTTAGGAAGTAACAGTCCCGATAAAATCTTGAATTTCCAATTTTAAAATACCTTACGAAATGGATCTGAAAACTCGGTTTATTGCGAAACTGTGCAAAGAATTCAATTTAAAAAATTGACAATTTGACAATGAATATAAACGAGGGAATTCCCAAAAAGAAAGTAAGAATACCGAGTTAAATAACAACGACTAAACATACATAGTGATGCGGTTAAAAGCGCGTGTCAGTTTTACAAATATTTGCACGATTTATGAATTGTTTGATTACCATTTATTTAAGTTGCTTGAATTTCAAAATAAGTTTATTTAAGCTAAAAGATTTTAAGACAATAAGGGATGAACAAACTAAGGCAGCAGCATTTTTCCTTAGGAAAATAGATAAATTTTGGCTCACATACACACAGATACTTTTTAACGACATAAAACTTCATAAAACGGCACAGAATGACTTAAAAAAAACTTAGAATGAGTTTCTCCTTCAGGAAATAGAAAATTCACCAATATTTGATGTGGCTTATGTAAGTACGTTAGGTGGGCGTATACCGTGGGCTCCAAAAAAAATATACATGATTTATTAACTTTCATATAAATTTGTCAACTTTTGTACTGAATTATTAATTTTTTTAAAAACAAACGATATAATTTTGAATCTTAATTTAATTTTAGTTTTTTCACAAGTTCGTGCTTTCTTCAGTGCCTATACTGCCGATAGCGAAAAATTTCTTAAGGTATAAATCAATGACCTTAAATTCAAATAGCGTGATTCGAATTTTGTCTGCAAAAAATAAATAAGTAAAAAGTAAAAGAGTTCCTTGTACTCGAGTAATTTGAGAATTTTTTTTGTATTATAAAATATAAATAAATTTAGTTTTATTAGTTAAGGCGCTTTATTGGTTATGTTGTTCTTAATATCACAAGTTATTAAAAAGTTGGACTGTAATGAAATTTGTAATAACAGACAAATTTAAAATTAAAGTTCAAATTACATTATTACAATATAAATGAAGTAAAATTGTAAAACTTTATTACAAATATTAAAATCTATATATTTCCAAAAGTCAAAACAAAATATACATTTGAGTTGAGTGGTTCTGATGAAAATACTATACTCTGAGGAGTTTGGTAAAAAAGATTTATTTATTTTAATTTCTAGATCCTTCTCTCAAAATATTGCTTCACTTATCTCTTGTTTTTACATTAAAAACAACTTATTTTTTGTCTTGTTTTAAGGTGCAAATCTAAATTTTCTTGAATGATTATCTTATTTATGAAGGCTAATAACATTAAATGACTAGGTCAACTATACGCGACCAAGTCGTTATTGAGAAAATAATTTAATAAACAAAAGATTTAAATATTAAAAAAAATATACAACCTATAGGTTGTTCAGAATCGAATTTTTTTTTCGTGATTATAAACTATATTATGAAATTAACTTTGATATATTTATAATTATATTATACTTACTAAATTATTTTAGTATATTTGAATTTACTAGAATATTCATAATCTTATGTTTAGAGGAAAATGGGCAAATTCGAAAATTAGTGAAATTGAAAAATATTTTTAAAAAATCAGAAAATCTGAGCAGACAAATTAGACATATTATTTTTAGTATGGTTAAAAGGTGTGTGAAATCTAATATATCTAGAACAGATTCATAATGAGAAAAGTATTTTAAAATAACACTTTTTATTAACCTCTGTAAAATATATGATTAGAACTTCTTGTCATATATGTTACATGTGCTTCTTATTAAGAAGCGTATGTCAAATACTAATTTAGTAAATTTGTTATTCGCATGACGAATTATTTTGCTGAAATAATTCAATAAATTATTTCTATAACATAAGCAAAATATGCTTTGTCAACAAAATTTAGAATCTTTTCCAAAAACGGAAATTAGTTCGGTCATTTAGTAGTTTAACCTTAGAAGTTTTCTGTAAGTTTTGAAAATTGGTGATTTTATAGATTTTGATGTGATCTTTACAAATTCCAACTTTGCGACCTCGAATTTTTGCCGTTTCCGCCACCATATTGGAAAAATTGCATCAAAAATCAGTTTTTTAACGATATCTCCTTTTCGACTCATGTTATAACAAAAAAAACTATATACAAATTTAAATTAGACAAAATTTTCTATAATGAATTTAATTCAACGTAATTCAATCAAACGAAATTTAGAATCTTTTCCAAAATAGGAAATGTAATAGATATAAAACTTTAATGGATATCAACTTATAATCACGTGTAACTTGTAGTTTGGATTTGTTTTTTATATATCATCACGACTAGAATTCCTTTTCCTTTTATACTAAAATGATTATTAATATAAATTGTTCAATTGACAATACTTCAACCGTCGTTCTATAAATTTCAAATTTTCGCGCGTGATGTAATAAATCAATATCTTTAAATTTGACAAACTACTTAATTAAGTATTCAATTCATTGAACAAATTGAGTGCTGAATGTACCCGTATATAAGCATAAGTAGGTACTGTTTAAATAATAATATGATACCCAACTGATAATAAAATATAGAAATCTTTACAGTACACAGCAACGTCCGACTATAGTAGATTTTGTTTGAGCTGGGAAATACCCAACAAAACATGCACGCACTTTCTTGGTCGATCGAGGATGTAGTAAATGTTATGGATCTGAATTTATTTTAATAATTTCATTTTGTTGTATGATAAAATAATTGTGTATAAATTATAAAAGTAACTCGAAGCCATAATAAGCCATAATAAGGGTAAATAAAAATTTAGTGTGATGAGCATTGGTAGCCCTGCGTGAATGATATAACACCCGCGTGAAGTAATTAACATATACTCTTCTTTTATCTATGCGTGATATTACATTCCTAATGTTAATATTAACATTTAAATGTGTAATAACACTGTAATTAAAATTCCAATATAAGAAAATATCATTGTTTACTTACTTTGTCTAATTTTGTTTAAATATTAATGATCACCAATAATTATAAAACGCTTGCTAAAATTCGATCCATGTGACGCATGAATCCATTCTCAAAAACCCGAAACTGCCCGAAGGCGCACGAATGCAAGCTGCGCGCTTGTCTCGCGAACCGCAATACGACGACAGCGCAGCCAACAGCCGTCAGTATCAAAGTGAATTCAGTCGCTTGAGAACGTTTGTAATTATAACATTCTAGAGTCGAATAAATTTGTTTCTGGGACAGCTAATTGCATAATAATAATAATAAGTTCAATAGTGCGCTATGTATTTATTAAGACACTCTTTTGAATAAGTTTAGTTTTGTAATTTAATCTTACGGTCGTGGAAGCAGCCATTTTCGTGCTACAATAAACTCATGCGAAGTAGAGAACACTTTTAGTATTTTATCCGTGGCGTGTGTTATATGTTAGTTATCAGTGAGGGGACATAACATATTTTTAGTGTTGATTTGTAACTTACTTGTAACAAATAAATAATAAAAACAAAATGTCTTTCTCAAAACAAGACGTGGATTTATCTTCCTCCGACAACCAAACCAAGGTCGAAGAAAGCACCGCCAATCAACATAATGACTCCGGCTTTTTATCCGGCAATTTAGTATCATCTGATGATATTTGTGATTCTTCTATCGAACAATCCAACCAGATGAGACTGGACAGTGGGATAATCGATGATATCAGGCTTGGGGAGACCTTTTCGAATTTGAGTCTTAAGGGTGCTAGTACAGATTTAAATGATTTTGACAAATTAAAATGCAGAGATTCCGAAACTAAATCATCAGTTCAGGAGCCATCTGTCATTGTGACAGATGAGGAAAAAGCACCCTGGGAGATATACTACCAACAGGATGAAGATGGCAACACGTGAGTATAATTGATAATTTTGACAGCTTTGATTATATTTAACTTAGCATTCCTATTTATATTTTAAAATGTTTATTCTATTAGTTATATTTCAATCCATTTTGCTAACTTTCATTCACTAATCCATCATCATACATAAATCCGCTTTTTCAATAGATATCAGCTTTGATATGGTTCTGTTCCATTGAATTATACCAAACGAATATCAATAGTAAATTAGTCATTATTTGTTTATGTATTTTTATGTCAATGTTATTATTTTGCTTCATTCAATACAACAATGTTCATAATTGTCGTTAATTTTCAAAAATATAATTGCTATAACGTTATTATTAACACTTTACTTTACTCTTATAAATTTGTTTTTGAATTTTGAATTTAACTTCACACTCAACGAAACTGTTGATGAAATAAAATAAGACGTTTTATTTTAATCGTATTTCTACTTACGTAACTAATTTATTTGGGTAAATTTTATGGGTATTTTATGTCATTTTTTTTATCTTTGTTTATAGAAATATTTCAAATGTTTGTCCTTCGGGCTATAAGATTTGTCAACACTTATGCGGGTTTTTGCTGAATTCTTATTTTATTTTTTATCGATTTGAAATATATTTTGAAGAAGTCAATATTATAAATACTGAATTTTGTTATTGAGGTACATATCAAAATACTTAATTATTAATATTCGTACTAATCGATCGTTAATCGAGTAGTTTTGTACATTGTTTTTAATATGATTAATTTAAATCATAGGTTCCCAAACATTTTTGTATCAAGGACCCCTTGCGCTTTACCATGGACCCTCTATTTACCCTATATCGATTTTCTAAATAAATTTTTAACTGTACTAAAATTTACTTTTAAATGTTTGAAGTAAAAAATACATGTTACCTGTATACATTTATTAATTTAAATTAAAATGACAACAAAAAATGAAGTAAATTACACTAAATGTTTAATTTCAACATTTCGCAACAATCTTGTAAGGTTTCATCTTACAACTCCTTGCTACTCTTTTGTTCTGTTTATAAATATTATATATGACTTTTTAAATTTTATTATATTTTTATTATAGATAGTATAATATGAGTAAATAGAGATAAACTATCGTGGACCCTATTTTAATTTTGTGGACCCCGAATTTTTTTTTGCTGACGTGGACCCCCTGAATGTTGGTATGGACTCGGAAGTACATATGGGGGGGAATCACTGATTTAAAGCAAATAAATACCTTCAGTTCTCCATATTTAAGACTAAAATTTTTCGTACTACTTTGTACGTATCAGATTTTAGTTATAAGAAATTGGAATTAAATAATTTTTCCGATCACATGAAATCTCTCAAAATAAATGGCTCAGGCCATTAAAACCTGTATATACTCGGAATCTTCTATTTAACTTCTGGTCAACATTGTGAATTCATTTGTTACGACTTTTTATAATGTCTATAACAGGTTTTCGTTAATAATATTGCTAAATTTTATTCGTCACAGGAAACGGAATAATGTAGCGAACCTTGGACACACGAACGAATTCATTTTGCCAAGACCTAACCTAACAATAATTGAGTTGAATACATGTTGAACAAAAAAAGTTCTTGTCGGTCTTTGAGCAACGATACATATTACGAAAGAGAAATATAATGAGCCCAAATAAAAGAGAAAAGTTGTAGTTTTGACTTGAACAATAGAATCTAATGCAGTTAAAGAAATCAGCGATATAATTTATAAATTTATATATTTGTTGTCCGAAACTTCATATGCTCGTACCCCAATGAATTAGAACGAAATTCCTAAATTTAGTTTCACATACTTTAGTCCTTATCAAATTTGAATGGCGATTTTACACATATGTTAAATTTGATTCTACTGCCTTTCAATCATATCATGGATTAAATATATAAATAGTAACCAGGTCTTTAATAGCCACTATTTAATGTCACCACATTCATGAATTTACCTATTAGCAAATAGTTCTCGGAACTTTGCTCATCTCCAATTCTTGGTTTTTTGCGTATATCGTAGATTTAATTCATTTATGCGCGGCAGAATAAAAAATCTCGAGAAACAAGTTTTCTATTAAATATTATTGGGGATCCCCAAAATTTATGTTCATAAATCTTGGAAGTCAAAGTCCTACATAATAAGAACAAAAAACGTATTCCTAATTAGTGCGCTGAAGTGTTTATTCATCATAGAATGACTTGCATAATTACATTTGGGCGCCGCTGAATTAAATTCGGCGGAAAAATCCAGTTTAAAATTATAAATTTAATGGGCTAAGATTTTGATTAAATCGTAAAAATTTCCTAATGGAATTTTGCAAAGAACTGATTTAAAATTAAAATTTAATAGTTGAATTTACACATCCTTCTAGACTTCTAAAGTTTCTTGTCCCTTTTGTGTGGGCGAACTCGTCTTCTGCACGCGCACTTTCGAATTTTTCCGAAATTCTCAAAAAGGGCGTACTTAGTGCCCTTGTCACTACAATATTAAAAGTATTTTCAACACCTGTTGTACCTGTATTTTTCTGGCCATTTGAATGCCAGACTTTATACCTGGACAGGTACCAAAACACCTGTTTTTCAAGAAAATGATTTGGAAGAAGACTTGATATGAAATAATGGCGCGATATGTTTTTGGTTCTAAAAATAACTGTGATTGCCTTATTAAGGATTTACGTATACAAATTCCTATATCGGAATCTTTTTAGCCGCGAGATCATCTCATCTTGGTGTCTAAAAATACTTCTGATTTGATCAGCGAGTAATAAAATTTTAACCCTAATAAATTAAGTATTTTATTGTCTTCGAGATTCTATATAAAGAACACACGCCACTATTACATATTTAAGAGCCTAAAAATAACTTATTAACCAATATGGACTTTTTTATTTTATTTCGCATATATACAGATCAATACGATGCAGTTTCTTCAAGGATGCACTACATGTGCTTTTACTTCTACAGATTTTATAAGGTTTATTATTACATCACAATTTTCACAAGTTATTATTACATAATGGTTATCAATTATCTATGCTATCAGGCAATTTGATTCGTTTATCACTTTAATATTTCAAAAGATGGGTTTTCAGCGTTCGCTAGTTTTATGATGAAATTTAGTCATGGAAATCCATGACCGAACTTCAAACGGTATTTCGCATGTCCAAATTAATCTGATCATCAAGCAAATCATCATTCTTATAAACATGAGTATACGTATTAGCGGATGTAAGTGTTCAAGTTCACGGTAATCAACTAATTTTTTAGTTGTATTTAGTCACATGCATTTTTTTCGGAACAAAGAACAGTTTAAGAAGAATTTCATTTCGAGATTTCATTAGCAAACTAGTGGGGCGCATGGCATCGCCGTCTAACAGATAAACATTGGTACGGAACCGATAGGAATGTAAACAAAATTTATACTTATTATTGAAATCTCTATAAAATATCTGATAATTTGATGTGCATATGTCTAATGATCATTTTTGACCCGCAAATGGCTTTTATTTTTACTTTTTTCATTAGATCTCCGAAACCGCTAGACCTGCTTTCATAAAAATTTTATCAATTCCTCATCTTGTCAATACAAGTAAAATGTTTTTTGAATTATTAAAATCGGACGCTCCGTTCTCTTAAAAACTGAGTTACCATTTTTGGCACTTTTTGCCCCGTATCTTCGGAACGGCTAGACCTGCCTTCGCCAAAAACTAATCAGCACGTCTCCTTATCAATACGAATCGAATGTTTTTTGAATTATTCAAATCAGTTGATCGGTGTTCCCGAAATCGTCGACGAAAATTTGTATCCGCACACACACACACATACATCCATTTTTTCTAAGTTATGCCAAAATATTCAGAAACGTTTGAAACGTAAAGATATATAAAAGTTTTCATTTTCGATTTTTTCATTTTCGAATAACTTATACCTTCTTCAAAAATTAGAGTAAATTATATAGAGTCATTGTATTGTACAATACTTATTTAGAGATTGGATTTTAATTATTTGAAAAGAGGTACTTGTTAGTCCCATACATTTTTTTCATATCTATAGGAAGGTTTTTGATGCTTATTTATGATTTAAATATAATTTTCTAGGTATATTGTCTCGCTGCTACCTAAACAGGTGTACCTTTCTAACAGGTGCCTATGTGATAATGGAATATGCAATTAATATTTAAATGGCTTTTGATTGACAATAAATAAATCTCTATTATTATAGTATAATGTAGAATTAATAGCAATATTAATAGCAATATCTATATAACATGCTTATTCTATTTTCGGAGAAACGGGATTGTATTGAAAGATGTCTATATAATTAATTTCAACTTTGATAATAAAAATCCGTGGTAGAATTTTTTGGAACATGATAGGTATAGAAAATGACTTATAAATCAATTATTAATTCAATTAATTTAATCAACAGGCAATTGCATTTGTCAATATTGGCTCGTATGACAGAGGCGTGCAAAGCAGTGATTGCAATGGCTCCTCATCCCTGTTTGCTGGATATCAGAAATGACAGTGTCAGGGCTCCATTACATTACGCAATAATCTTCAGGCAAGCTGAAATCGTCAGGTTGCTCCTGATCGCTGGAGCGGATGTAAGTTACTTACTATATACATACATTTTACTGACAATTTTCGTTATTATCAATTTTCATTGATTTTTCAAATTTAATTTTTAGGTGACAGTACAAGATAGATACGGAAATACCCCATTACATCTGGCTACACGTCTAGGGTATATGGATTGTGTGCAAGCCATAACATCACCAATCCAGGAAACAGAATGGGAGCAAGCTCAGCAGCTTTTCTTTGAAAGTGGACACCGTCATCCAGACACTTGCCCGCCAAAATGCCCGCTTTTGCCGCCAGATTTCGAACAATGGAACTACGACGGTAAGTGATAGTTTCAAAGACATTTGCGAACGAAAATTTGTGTAGCTCCTTTATATTATTTCAAAATATCGCATCTGGAACGTTTTACTGCGCATATCATATATTATCACTTGAGTCTCTCATTCATGGTTTTTCCAAAGATTATAAAACGGTTTCTTATTTTATGGATGTCGAATACATTCGTCTCGTATAAGTGTGTTCATTAGTGAGTTGGTCTTTCTATGTTGCTTAAAGCTTACAATAAACACAGTTCTATTAACGGAAAAAAACTTTTGCTCGAATCTAATTTGTTATCTAAAGTTATAAAATATTTTAGCGCAGTCGTAAAACCTAGCGAGCGTAGTTTATAGAACATCACTCGTTATCCAATGTATTTAATTTCATGAAAATGTATTTTGCACACTTACTTGCTTTGATTCTAAATATACTATAGTGATAAACTAAAAAATATTGGTTTGAACCCTAATGATTATTAATCATCAAATTGGAATACAATAAACGTTTTCTGTAGTAACTATATCATTTATCTGATATAAGTGACTTGAAGTGTTAATGATGTGAGAAATATTCAATATTTCAATTCATTTGTCTTATTTTAATAACTTACTTTATTATAAAATAAAAGAAATGCCAATGTGCATGAACTGACCTGATTACCATCAGAAGTTGCCAATAGTTCGTTTGAGTCCTAGGGCATCTAAACTGTAAGTCAACTTTGTCAAGAAATTTCTAAATATCCAGGAGCTGCGTATGAGTTTGAACCTAAAATTTATAAATTAATTTTATTGATTGCTCTTGAATTACAAACGTATTGATAAAAACACATTTGCAATAATGTTTTGTAATTTACTTTTGTTATTCATACTAATTATTTCTATGATCATTTCAATTTGCAAGATCAAAGCTTTGGGCATTGTTATAATTGGGTCATGCATAAAACAACGATGCATTTAAATCAAGCAAATGAAACATAGAAAAGAAATTATTCAGCCGGAAAACTTATAAAATTAGCGCGACATAAATAGATCAAATAAATTCAGGACAGATGTTTTCTTGGCTTCCAACATTCAAGATTCTCACAAAACGAAAGCAAATATAGGTTTTCTATTTGACACATGCATTTGTATAGACGGCATTCTAGACAGACTAACTTTCCTTGGCACAGCTACTGTACTTGGAGTAAATTATTCGCACTTTTGTATAGTTTTTTATTTACAAGGTTGGGATATTTACATACTTTGTAGAAGCATTTACTCCGTAGCAGGTTGTAATAGGTACTCGAGTTTTTCTTGACCTACTTAATTTAAAATTTCAGACCTATGAAATTTCAAAGCTCATATGAAAGATGCTACAGTCTTCATGGTTTCTATTGAAGATGTTTTTTAATAGTTTGCAGCTAACTGTTTTATCTAATTATCAAAACATTTATGGTTTATCATTTGGAATCCGATTTTCGATGCCCATTGTGAAATTCCCAATCGCCAGTAATTAATACAGGTATTTTGCGTATAATTCACTTTGAAGAAAAAATAACGTTATACACTACCAATCTAGAATAGTACATCGCATTAGTATTTCAAGGCCGTAGTAATAATTTAAAATTGTTTAAGGTTGGGATTACCGAATGACTTAATACGCCACTGGAATTCTCCAGAACTTTCACATTCTCTTATTTACATTACTCTCATTACCATTAATATGATGAGTACAGAAAACGCGATGATGCGCTTTTTGTTTTGCTATTAATTATTCAAAGAAACTAATGAGCATTTGCAAATTCTGATCACAATAAAATGAGCACGTGTGCAAGTTGGTTTTTCTATATTCGAATTGCGCGTCCGCTTATTTGCTATGCAAATTGATGTCATTGCAATTTATTATAATCAAACGAGTACTAGTATTCGTGATTGATATAGATTGATTACATTGTAATAGTTAATATGATTCAATAATTAGTACCGTTGCTATAATTTAATATTTGATGGAGTAAATGACTGAAAATTATGCTGTTCTACATGGTGATGAACACGCTACTGGAACAGATCATCGTCCAAGTATTTTATGTATGAATTCAAGCTATATTTCAGTTTTTGAGAAACCAGCCTGATCGCAGACAATCAAATCATAATTTAAGTAAAAGTATTTACCATTATTTCAAGTTGTAGGACATAGGTCTACCTGAATCTGAAACCATGATGTTTCAGATTCCAGCGTTTGCCATCAATTTGGGGAATATTTTCCTCATTTGTAGGTTCCGGCATAACATTTATGCCAGCATCTTTTACTATTTCGAGTCTAGTAATTTCTACACGTGCATTAAACGTGTGCAATACAAAGGATATTACATTTATGAATCGTCTGTAAGTTATTTGAAGCCAAATGGTATTTATAGCCCAGTCTGTACTGATGGGCGCAGACCGTCGCATACCAAGCAAAGTTATTCGAAGTCTGTTTCTGTAGACATCGCGTCATTTGGGGAATACCATGCCTTAAAATACACTCCGGCACAAAAATATAATTGCGTTTTCAAACCGGACAACTAGAAATAAAGTGACTATTCTAAATTTTATACGATGAAGGTGTGTATTTTAGAATAAAATGTCGAGGACATACAGTGTCATGGTTAGTTGTAATGAATAATTCATTCTAATTAATTTAATTTGATGAAACTCCGATTAATAATATATCAGTTTAGCAATTTTTACATCATTTGTAGGCTTGATGGTAAATTTATAATTAGTTTTTTCTAGATAATATTTGAGATGCTAGCTTGCCAAAGTAGAATTTTGTTACTTGTTATACCAGATTAAGGAGCACAATTAGTGTGAAATTTTTAAAAAATCGAATTTTCAATTTTACCATATTTCGATAGTCTATACCTTTAAAAATAACATACCAAAATTTTAAATTGATATCTGAAATAGTTTTTGAGTCACAGCCATTTAAAGAGTATATATAGTATATAGTATAACGATCATTTTATCTTTACACGCGTTTTTCTCGAAACTGCATTTACCGAATTTGCTGCAGTGATTACTCAAAAACAAATGATCCGATCACTATCGATTTTTTTTTACATGTTCTATATATATTTCTCCGTAAAATGAACTATCGATTTTTTGATCGGATCAAAAATCGAATTTTGGCAGTCCAAAAACGACCAAAATTTTAGGTAAAATTCGACTTTTTTTTAAAACGCCGCAATTTTGTCAATTTTTAATTATTTTTTTTTATCGTAGGTCATTTTACAGACAATATTATCTAGTTTAACGAGAGTTTTTTTTATATTTCATCCACGTAGAAGGCCGGAATTACTGCAGCAGTAAAGGCCCTTTTTTGCGCGCCGTTGGAGATCGATGATAACTTAAAAAATATTTAATTTTTTTCTTCAAAAGTTTTACTATGTATTCTTAAAACTGTGTAAATATATTCTTGAAATTTTGATATGATTGATATAGTATTTTTTTTTTAATATAAATTCCCAAACATCACCTCTTTAAGGCGGTTACACTAGTTGTGCACCTTAATGCATCTATTTAAAAAAGTTTTATGCTAAATTTATTTATATTGAAGATATTATAATATAATTGTGCTTTAGGCAGAAAGAACGTTCTGTGTTTTCCTGAGATGTATTTTTTATTTAGAAGAAATAGAAATCAGAAATAACCATTTGTCGCAACTAAATATAATATGAAGTCATCGCATTAAGTATGACGGTGGAAAACCAGATGCTCATAAGACTTCTAGGGAATTTTAAAACGTCGTTAGTATTGAAAGCATTCAACACATACAAAAAACCAAGTGACGGAAATAGTCTAAAAAATCTCTTCTTCTCCTATATGTATGACGTCTGTACCATCGGTGGTCCAGCTTTTACTACTTTGTAGTCGCTTTTGACGTTATATATAAGTTTGTAAATACAAATCTTGCTGGACGTGTTGAACGCTTCTCTTTTGAAATCTGGCATCGTGCACTCATTTCAGATAAAAATATTCAGAAAAGTAAATAATATTGTAATAAATTATGGTTACACGTAAACTATGACGCAAATGAGTCGAGGGTCACTGATGTGCGCCTGAAATAAAATTGTAGAGGTCAACAGTTTATGGAGAAAAAATCTGAAATCTTGTTAGATTTCGGTGATAAAATCTCAGACGTAATGTTTGATAAACGAATCGTTTATAAATTTAAAATTGATTTTGTAAAATTCAAAATAATATTATTACAATTATTTTAATAATTGCACCTTGTGGTAAATAAATACAATATAAACAAGATTATGCAGATTTGAAATTATGATGCTTCATGCCAAATTATTGTAAGATTTTTAAGTCTCTGCAGTAATAATTAAATTTTAATAATACACTACACTTGTGTTATAGTGACATAAAAATACATTACGAGAACTATTTAGAATTACCCTAAATATCGTTGCCGTTTAACGCTTTTGAAAGACTGGGCCAATAAACTTAAGTAATTTTGAACCAATTCCTTTTTTTATCATTTTGATCAACCCTACCATCTCAAAAAGCGCCAAGGCGCATTCCTCTACGAAAATAAAACCGGCTACTCTCAAAATAAACATTGGCGGAAAATAGCTTTTCCCGTTTTCGTGACCGCATTTGGTAAGGCGTTCAGGCATTGGCTAGCTCTATGACTAGACACAGTGCATAAACATAAATTTATTAGCGATGTGTATATGAAAAAGTTGCCAAAATTTCAATTACATGTGCACGTAATCACTGTCACATGATTTCTTGTAGTAAATGAGTATAAAAGTCGAGACGAGATTATTGCCAAGATGTCTCATATTCGCCGAAGATTACAATAAGATGTCCCGGAATGTTTGTCTGCGACAAATATTTTGGATTTTGTGTTGAAGCCGTGGCCTAGTTTAAATAAATTAAATTTATTCTGATTTTGATTAATCTGCATATAACTTTCTTTTGATTTTTTTTTGTTATTAATCTGGTTCGATTTGATATTCAGTTTTAATTTAA